TGCACCACTACGTGCACAATACCAGTTCACTACCTGTACAATACCAGCATTAAACCTGTACCATACCAGTGCACCACTACGTGCACAATACCAGTTAAATATTTGTACAATACCAGCATTAAACCTGTAAAATACTAGTTCACTACCTGTACAATACCAGCATTAAACCTGTACCATACCAGTGCACCACTACCTGTACGATACCAGTTAAATATTTGTACAATACCAGCATTAAACCTGTACAATACTAGTGGCTAGTACTGCTACTACTACCTAGCACTACTACTATGTGGCGTCATCTAGCAACGTGCGTGACCACGTCGTTTGTTGTCGTCGTCATCAGGAGACGGAGCGCACCGCTCTGGCGATGTGTGCGGAGATGGGAGCCGTGCCCGGCGGCAGCGCCCTGCAGAAGTTCAAGTTCTCCATTCCCTTCATGAAGTTCCGCAGCGCGGCGCGTGTCGTCATAGCGATACATCGTCTGCAGTCCCTCGTGGCGACAACGAAACAGCTAACGGCGGGAGGCGGTGGTGGTGACACCGAGATGCAGAACGGTAGGAGGCAGGGCGATGCTCGCGTGCGTGAGTGCGTGAGTGAGTGCGTGCGTGCGTGCGTGCGTGCGTATACGTACGTGTGTGCATGCATGTACGTTTAGGTGTGCTTACGTGTTTAGAAGTTTATTGGTATAATGTTAGCAAAAGATTTCAATTCTATTCTCGGAATTCTATGTCATTACTATCATTATAACTATTATTATTATTATTATTGTTACCATCATCTTCATCATTATTATTTCTACTTGAATGGTCTCAGTGCTGTGAGTGTGAGTGTACAATCAATGTTTGTCTTTTCTGTCATGTGTACAGGTGAGTCAGCTGTGATCTATGACCTGAGCATGACAGGTGACACTACACCTGTGAGGGACAGGACACAGGTGCGACGACATCGAGTGACAAGTGACAGGTAAGCTGCGTCGTGGGATCATAATTATAACAGCAGAAACAACAGCTGCAACAACCACAACAACAACAACCACAGCAACAACCACAACAACAACAACCACAGCAACAACCACAGCAACATCGACAACAACAACTACAGCAACATCGACAACAACAACAACAACCACAACAACAACAACAACCACAACAACAACCACAACAACAACAACAACAACAACAACCACAGCAACAACCACAGCAACAACAGTAACAACAGCAACAACAACAACAACAACAGCAACAACAACAACAACAACAACATCGACAACAGTAACAGTAACAACAATAACAACAACAACAACAACAACAACAACAACAACAACGGTAACAGTAACAACAATAACAACAGCAACCACAGCAACAGCAGCAACATCGACAACAACAGCCCCAAAACAACATGCTCACGTTATCAGTATCAAATCGTGGCTTTGAACGATATCTCATGGCTCATGATATCTGCATGTTTGCAGTAACAGCGCGCGTGCTTGCATCCCTGTAACCCAGGGCCACACGCCCAAGCATCGTGCCCCCGAGTTCTCACTCGCACTCGCGCGTTCCCACTCACGGCCATCAGGCGAACAGCCGAGCAGCTGCTGATTTATATTTCTCGCTCTACAACCATGTAACGTTGAAATAATGTTTGATGTAGAAGTGATGAATCAGAAGAATCCAAAACTTGTGTGATAACCGGAATAGACTTTAATAACTGCTCGCACACAGTGTGTCCATCTTGCACAAAGACAACGTGCGCGCGCGTGTGCTTCCTCTCACGACCACGCCCAACCTCGCTGACTAATTCATGCAACACCTGCAAAAAACACATGTTACGACCACGCCGCGTGTGTTTCCATCTAGGATCATGGCGAGCCGGGGGACAGGCAGCAGCCCCGCGTACGCGTCGCTGGCCGGACGACAGAGGCCGAGGCCATCGTCGACGGGGGCAGCCTCCAGCTACGGCTCATCCTACACAGACGACTACCTCCAGCGTCTCGGCCGCATGCGCGAACACATAGCAGGTGAGTAGCGCCCTCTATAGTAGCAGGTTAGCGCTCTCTATAGCAGGCTAGCGCCCTCTATGTAGGAGCATGTAATAGGTTAGCGCCCTCTATAACTGTTAGGATGAATCGACCCAACTGCTATAGCAGGCGAGCGCCCTCTATAACTGTCTGTTTGGTCGATGTGGGAGCATGTAATAGATTAGCGCCCTCTATAACTGTTAGATCGAACGTGAGATCGTATATCAGGTTAGCGTCTTCTACCAGATCGCCTTGCCGCTCGTGTGGCGCCATCTGTTGTGTAGCATGAGCGGTTCGTCGCTGCAGGTGACGCTGGTGTTAAGCCACTTCTAACTGGTCGCTCATGTACGCCGCACACTATGTGTTTCAGGAGCAGCTATCGCGGGCGGTTACAAGAAGTGAGAGCGATGGCAGGAGAGAGAGAGAGACGGACGGTCGCCACTGCGTGCTGTAGCCTCGTCGACGCCACGTCGCTGCAATTCTCTCCTTATCGATGCCATCGTCGATCCGCGCCTTGCATTTGCGACCGGAAGTGAGACCGATGGCAGGAGAGAGAGAGATGGACGGTCTTCAATCTTACGAGATTGCATCTTACGAGATTCAATCTTACGAGATTGCATCTTACGAGATTCAATCTTACGAGATTGCATCTTACGAGATTCAATCTTACGAGATTGCATCTTACGAGATTCAATCTTACGAGATTGCATCTTACGAGGCAGATTGCCGTGCAGCGACCGGCGTTCGCGAATTTTCGTTTTTCCGCGTGTGAAGTTAGTTTCAGGAATCTGGCGATGACGACTTGGCAAGCGTGATCGACCTTGTGTTTGCTGCGGGCGTTCTGATTTGCGGCATCCGCCCTCCTCGGCTCATTGCTGCGTCGTGTTAGCGAGTGGCGACGTCGATTTTTTTCAATTGTACAGAGAGCGCGATTTGTGGCGGCGTAGTGTTTAATTTTTGGGGGTTATTTGCATTGTTTATCGATCGCACAGAAGTATTTTGTATTTACAACTGTATGGGTTTCGTCTAATGGCTAGAGAGGAGGTTCGCATTTATTAACGAGTAAGATTAATTAGTGATACGGTTAATAACTTGCCACCACGCATTTAATTTATGCCTGATTAATAGCTCTTCTGTGTAAGGGGGCACGGCGAGCGATGCAGTGCTTATTACAAGAGATGCGCTAATGCTCCTGGCTTTTGCCTGCGCGTGCATGTGGCGCCATCTGGTGTGCAAAATAAATAAAGATGGAGAGGCGATGTAATGGAACATTCCCTGTAACTGGTAATGAACCGGCTGTCACATGCCAGGGGGCTGGATCTTGCTCTACTAAGCTTGTGAACTCGTGTCGTGCTACACCCGATCGAATCTTACTGGAAGTCGGTAGGAACGATTTAAAATCTGCGTATAAAATCTGCGCATTCTCGCTGTTGGTTCATGCTTACTGTTAGCAGACATTTAGTGTACAATAGATGGGGTGTGTAGAGAGGGAATGTCGGCGTGTAGTCGTAATCACCTGCAGGCTGATTAGCAACCAAACCTGAATCAGTTCATGAGGAAGCAAAGACTAAACTTCATTCCCCGTACTCGTCTGTCTTTCCGACACCGCGAAAATGTATGTGTCGCGTAAAGTGGTTCCCATGGTGACAGATACGCATGTTGCTCTTGTGTTTATCTGCTAGAGGGCGCGGGGAGCAATAACCCTGGTGGCACACGTTGTGTCTGACGGTGATGTAACCCATTGTTTCGACGCGGCATTTATAAGCTAGCTTTAAGGAAAGCGTAATTTGTGGTGATACTTGACAAAACTGTATTTTTTAAATAAAATGCTTATGCTGCAGTTATGTTACGTCTGTGTTTTTAGCTCATCTGACATAGTCAGATGCAGCTTGTAGAATCGCACGATCGTCCGTCCGTGCGTCCGTCCGTGCGTCC